CATTGCACAAGCGGCCAGGGACATCTTCCAGATTCCAGTGCCACTCAGGCTACTCTTATTCACCCCTGTTGATCACTATCCTGCTACAAGTTCACAGTTTCTCTCTTATCCTCCTACACATAACCATTGTTTATCTTGGCAGAGAAGGTGCAATCAATAGTCATCCAAGACTGTCATCTGAGTTAAGTCAGTGACAAGTTGGTGGCAGATGAAAGAGGAAATGGATTCTCAGTGCCTAGAAGAGTACAGAAGTGGGTCTTTAAAAAAAAAAAAGTCACCAGAAATTGGAAGAAACAGTGACTCACTTAGATCAGGAAGTTGTTGAAATCGATTTTTTTTAAATGAACTGTTGAAAAAGAAGAATGAGGAACTCACTTCTATTTTGGAAAAAATGGCCAATTGGTGCAACAACAATAACACGGATGAAATAACACATACCCACAGTTCTACTGTACAGCTGTTTTATGACCCCATTTGGGGTTTCTTGGCAAAGATACTGGAGTGGCTTGCCATTTCCTTCTCCAGCTCATTTTACAGATGAGGAAACTGAGGCAGAGTTGCGTGACTTGCCCAGGGTCACACAATAGTGTCTGAGGTCAGATTTGAACTTAGGTCCTCCTGATTCCAGGGCCAGCACTCTATCCACTTAGCCATTTAGCTGCCTTCTACTGTATAGATATGTCCTGAATGTCTATGAGGAGAAATAGAAACTTTTACCTAATGAAGGACTAAAGAGGGGAAGGCTAGACCTGGATGCCTTTCTCAATCATGTGTGCATTTTGTCCCCAAAGAAGTTCTCTCTGAGGAATTAGTACAGAGAAATGAAGGAAGTTCTCAGATCTCAGTACTTCTATTGATTTTCCATATCAATTGGGGAATGAGGTTTGCATACAAAAGAAGTTTTTGTCTTATCTCTCAGTAGGTACCCTGAATAGGTTTTGCAGTATGTCCTTCAAATGCAAGATATTTTGAATTTTCTGATTTGCTTGTTTTTAAGTAATAACACTAGGTTTCATAATAATGCACCTTCTATCAACAAATAATGACATCATGTTCTTGAGTTACTAGCTTTGTTCCTCAGTTTTCTCATCGGTTAGTGCCTACACGGGACTATTATGCCAGGATCAAATGAGATAATATGTGTGAAGCACTTGGCAAATTTTAAGGTGTTATGTAACTATTATATGATAAATGTAATAGGTGCTATATTCTTATTTTTGTAGATTTAGAGCTAGAAGAAACTTTTTTTCAAATTTTATTAATTTTTTTGATTTATCAATAATCACTTCCATATGCTTTTGAGTTTAAAATTTTTCTCCCCCTCCCTCCCCACCATCCTCCTCAAGATGGCACACAATCTGATAAAGGCTATACATTTACATTCCTATTAAACATATTTTCACATTAGTGATGTTGTAAGTAAAAATTAAAACCAATAGGAGGAACCATCAGAAAGAGGAAATAAAGCTCAATAGAAGATAAAAAAATAGCAATTCAACTTCCATGGTTCTTTCTTTGGATGTGGATAGCATTTTCCATCACAAGGCCCCTGGAGATGTCTTAGATCCTTGTATTGCTGGGAAGGGTTAAGTTTATCAAGATTAGTCATCGCACAATGTGGCTGTTATTGTGTACAATGTTCTCCTGGTTCTGCTCACTTAACTCAGCATCAGACCATACAAGTCTTTCCAGGTTTTTCTGAAGTCAGCCTGTTCATTATTTCTAATAGCACAATAGTATTCCATTACATTCATATCTACAACTTGTTTAGCCATTCCCCAATTGATGAGCATCCCCTCAATTTCCAATTCTTTGCCACAACAAAAAGAGCTGCTATGAATATTTTTGTACATGTAGATCCTTTTCCCATTTGTATGATCTCTTTGGGTGGAAGAAACTTAAGGAGCTATCTAGTCTAACCTCTTAAGCAGGGGTGCACTTGAGGACGTACAGGGCCACATGTGGCCTTGAGGTCGCAGGTTCCCCACCTCTGCTTACTTTTACTGATGAGGAAGTGAGGTGACTTGCCCAAGACAGAATAGGTAGTAAGTAGAAGAGCCAAGATTTGAACACAGATCCTACCTACTGTAAAAGTTCAAAATAGGTAATTATGTAAACATCATCTTTTTTATGGTAATACTAAATCTACCCTCCCTAGGACTTTTTCCTTTCTCTCTCCTTCTCCCCCTCCCTCTCTGTCTCAGTGGTTTGCTGACAAATGTTTAACAGCTGGATCTCTGGGCCAAAAAAATTGTACCTGTGTCACACTTAAAAGTTTAATCTATCTCATTAACATTCCTCCATCACTTTCTTAAGTCGAGGATATCAACAAAACAATAAATTAAGCTGTAACTTGTAGCCGTTCCTGATTTCTAAGGTGTACACGATCACACTAAACATGCAATGACTGGCTCTTGTGAATCCCTCTGAGCTGGCTCCCGCATGCTGCTGCTCCCTTCTCATGTTTAGTAAGTCACCAGATCTTTTCAATTCTACCTCTATAACACCTTTTCTATTTGTTCCCTTTTCTTCGCTCACATAGCCTCTACCTTAATTCCCAGACTCATCACTTCTCAGTAGAGAGCAACAGTCTTCTAATCGGTCTTCTCAACTTCTGGGCTCTTCTAATTTCAAGGTATTCTCCACATAGCTGCCAAATTAATATTTATAAAACACACATATGATGATGTCACTCTCCTACTCAAGAATCTTCCGAAGCTCCCTCTTGCCTCTGTGATAAAATGCAAATTCCTCTACTCGGCTTGAAAAGCCTTCACAACCTGAACTATTGCAATAGCCTTCTGGCTGGTCTTCTTGCCACAAATCTCTCCCCACTCTAATCCATCCTTCACTCAGTGGTCAAACTGACCTTCCTAAAGTTCAGATATGAATATGTCACCTCTTCCATTCAACAAATTCCAGTGACTCCCTAATATCACCAATATCAAATATAAATTTTTCCATTTTTTTAAATGTTCTTTATAATCCATCCCTTTCCTACCTTTCCAGTTCTCTACAACATTATTTTCGTCACGTGCACTGCAATCTAGTGACACTGGCCTCCTCACTTTTCCTCCGAAACAATATCGTAAATCTAGGCATTTTCACTGATTGTCCCTCATGCGTGGAACACTCTCCCTCCTCATCTCTATCTCCTAACTTCTTAGGATTCCTCCAGGTACCAGCTAAAACTGTTCTTTCTTATAAGAAGCCATTCCCATAGGGCAGCTAGGTGGCGCAGTGAATAGAGCACCAGCCCTGGATTCAGGAGGACCCTGAGTTCAAATCTGACCTCAGACACATAACACTTACTAGCTGTGTGACCCTGGGCAAGTCACTTAACTTCACTGCCTAACCAAAAAAATAAAAACAAGAAGCTATTCCCAATTTTCAATAATGCTAATGCCGTATCTGAGATTTTATATATTTACACATAAAATTGTGTATATACACATATGTATGTATAATCATCATATATGTGTATATATGATGATTATATACATACACATGCAGAGAGAGAGAGGGAGACACAGGAGGAGAGGCAGGGAGTGTTTATTTGTAGCTGATTGTATCTTGTCTTCCCTGTTAGACTATAAACTCCTTGAGGGCAGGGACCATTTTTTGCCTTTCTTTGTATTCTCAGTGCTTAGCACAGGGGCACATGTGCCTGCCACATTGTAGGTGCTACATAAATGCTTATTGACTTGAGCTGACATTCATTTAATTTTATTCCTTTCATGATTTTCTGACTTTGCTCAGTAGATTGCCAGTGCATGGGCCCTGGAAGGGAGCAGTCAGTTACTTGTGGTACCGGTTTCATTTTCTCTAGAAACTAAAAAGAGCTAAAACTGTGTGGGGTGGAGGGAAGATGGGGCGCAAGCATGAAGTCACATAGAACAATCCCTTGTGATGGGCTGATGCTTCCCCAGTCCCACCCAGCAGCTACTTTCTGATTAGCTTAAGTATTTAAAGGCTTTCAGAGGACTAATACTTGAAGTGTGATGGAAATTGCACTGCCAGAGATTAGCTAGCACTACAATGGAGTTTGCTGCTCTATGTTGGGGTTCAGTTACTCTACATTAATAATGTTATTGTGAATTAGTGTTGGCCAGGGTAATGTTCTGGGATATAGGCAATAATCAACACTTCTATATGCCAGAGTTAGTTTGTTGAATCAAATTATCTAGGCCCTTTATTTGTCTCTGCATTTCACTGACTTCACTATTCAATAGCTCCTCTATTGAAAATAACTAAGGGAAAGGGATGGGCAAAATTAAAAGAATTCATTTTTACGGTGGCCAGCTCCTGTTTATCCATGGAAATTCATGCAAAATAGACAGAGATTCACAGACATTCAAAAAAACCTCACTTTATCCATGTTATAACTTTCCTACAACAAACCAATTCTTGTATTAGAAAGGATGGCACATATCAAAACTTACTAAGTAAGATTATTCCCTCTTTGTCTTCCTGTTCATACTCTGGTGACCAACAGTGATCAGCCAGTAGGGAGAAAAAACAAAGGCCAGAAATGATCAAAATGAACTGAATACAGTGCCAGAGTGATCGAGAGTCTGCTGTAGTTGTTTAGCAACTCTGGTTTGGCGCAGGAAGTAAAAGTGGTTGACTAAGATGTTTAGGAAGATTGATATTAGATTTTTCAGTAAACATACGTAAATGAGACTTATGTCTTGCTTAAAAATCAGCTGATTCTGTTAAAGTTCACATTGGAAGTATGATAAAGTTTAGCATTAAAAAATAAAACAGACAAAATTTTAATCAGAGATCAAGTACTGACATTCAATCTTAAAAATCCAATTGCTGATTAGAGACACATAGAAAAACCATCATTAGATATAGCCATGAAATGCAGAGAAGCAGCTAGATCAATTTATACTTCAGTTATCTCTTGAAAGATGGCATGCTCAAAGAGGTTATTAGTGTGGAGAAGCACGGACTATTCAGCAAGAAATGAGAAACATGATAGCCATAAGCTCTACCTGTTCTCTGCATCAGCACTGCATTTGGGAGACATCAATTCAAAGGATTTGGTAAACTTCACCACCTGTCATAGGAAAAAAAAAGATTATTAATTCAACTAATAGAAGATTTTTTTCACAGCTCTGAAAAAATTTGGGTAACAGTTTTCAAGTTGCAAATTTATCATTTCCATTTTTCACAATTACTAAAACTGTCAAGTACTATAGATGAGGAAAATCTTAAGGGAGAAGAAATCTCCCATTCTATCCATTCAACTAAATTCTTTTTAGGGGACACTCCACCAAAATCTTAATAAATTTTACAAGTATGGAAGTATCCATTATTGTAGTGGGGCAAATAGGGTTATTGTGATCCAGTTTAGAACTCACCTTTCTAATGCCCTGCTATCCACTCAGTCACTCTTGCTTATTATCCTTAAATAGACACGTGGGTCACTGCACGGTTGGCAGGGCAGCCCCCAAAGAGAAGACCACCCTAGTAATTGGATCTGTGTTCAAATCTTCACTCTTCTACTTACTACCTATTCAGTCTTGGTTAAGTCATCTTACTTCCTCATGAGTAAAATTAAGAAGTTGTACGAGATAGCTCCTTAAGTTTCTTCCAGCTCTAAATCTATGAAAATAAGAATATAGCACCTATTATATTTATTATATAATAATTATATAGCACCTTAAAATTTGCAAAGTGCTTCACACATATTATCTCATTTGATCTTCACATAACAGTCCCATGTAGACACTATTATTATCCTTACTTTACAGAAGAGAAAACTGAGGAACAAAGCTAGTAAACCTCTGAGGCAGGATTTGAACTCAGGTCTTCCTGACTCCAAGTCCAACATTCTATCCATTAAACCACCTAATGCTTATGATCCAAGAATCTATGGGCTGTTTATTTCCTTCTTAGGGATTCACAGTACACAATAACACATTGATGACAATCATTGCCTATCCTGGAAAATCCCAAATCATTCCTTTATCAATTAGAAAATACTAAAGATCCTATGTTTATATTATATCACCAACCTCTACCTCTTCCTTCCAGGAGGATACTACTGCAGGTGGCTCCTGAATTCATAATCATTTTGCAAGTCTTTTCAATAACTTTAAAGAATTACAAAGAAAGGAAGAGAAAAGGGAAACAGAATGGGAGGGATTGTGTTAAAAGGAAAAGGTGGGATGGGAGGGATTATGTGAAAATGAAAACATCAAGTCAACAAGCAGTTATCAAGCATTTACTGTGCTCTAGGCACTTGGCTAAGGACAGGGATATAAAGAAAAGTAGAAGAAAAGTTCTCAAGGAACTCACAGCCTAACGAAGGGGACATCATGCCAACAATTGTGTACAAACAAGATATAGATACAGGATAAATTGGTAATCGTCTCAGAAGGAAAGACACTGGAGAAGTAGAAGGAGGAGACAGACCAAGAAAAGCTTCTTATAGAAAATAAGACTTGAGCTAAATCTTGAAAGAAGCTAGGAAAGTCAGGAGCCCAAGACAAAGAGGAAGAGTATGTCAGTCCTGGGAGAATAAAAGAATTTGAAATGAGAGATGGAGTGTTGTGAGTGAGGAAGAAAAGGGTCAAGGAATATGAGAAAAGAAGAAAGAGCAAGGAAAAAGAAGAAGGAAAGAGACAACTAAGGAAAGAAAAAGGAGGGGAGAACTGGGAGAGAGTGTAGGAGATACTGCTACAATTTGGTAGTTTACACCCGGCATGTATCATGTTCCGCCACTAGGGGGCAGCCAGTCCCAGATTAATGGCAGAAACCAAGCTGCGCCATCCTGAAGAGCTGGCTAGCTATGCCTTGTGCAAGAAGCAAGATAATTTGAAACAGAACCAGGTGAAAACCAGAGGTCAGAGGCACTAAGCCACGATCAAAACAGCAGAGTAGGACAGAAGAGAGCACTTCATGCCAGAAAGTCATCTAAAAGAGAGGTTGAGGCATCAGCATAGGTTCAAAATACTGAAGTAAACCCCAGTGTAAGAAATGCCAGAGAAGATGGTTCAAGGGTGGAGGAGCTCAGGGCTACCAGAAGAATGAGTGCTTGCTGGGCTCACACTATGCTCCAGCATTCAAACATCAAGTCTGTGATCTGACTGTTTGGATGTTCTTGCCAATGATGCAGAGGATAACCCATCAGTTTCTGCACATCCTATGGGACTCTTGTCCCCATCACCCAGGTGCTAGAAGGCTTCTTTGCTTTCTCCTGACCAGTGGAACACCCTGGCTGTCCAACTGCCATCCTCCTATCTCACCAAATACTAGTTCATCTTCATTTCCTATTAGAAATTTCCCTAATGAAAGCTTTCACTCCTATTCTTCTTCCAAGGTCTTTGGTTATAAAGTATAGCCTGCTCATGTCCATTATGCAGTCCCCCATCGTTCTCTGTGTTATGTTCATTGTTGGTCTTTGGGGTTTAGTTCCCAGTCCCACATACAAACCTGATAGGATATTAGTATTGAAAAGATGGGTTTTTATTTTGGGGAGAAGTTTAGCTACACAAAAGGAGTTTTGCAATTTTCCAAAGAGAATCCAGCCAGTTTTTCTCCCCAGGTTAATTCTGGGCCTAATTTATTAACCTGTTTTCCCACAGGGTCCTTTTAATAGAGCACTGGTATATGTTGGACATACCCCCTCTCTACTCCTTAACTGGTCAGACCTCTTGAAAGCTAAATTCCAGGTGGCCTGTGCCAGAGCTGAAATTCCTAATGGGCCTCTGCTGTTTATTTTCTTGCAGAGGATTTGATATACTTAGGATCACATGATCATACATTTAGAACTAGAGGGGACCCCCATGGATTGAGTACAATCCTCTCATTTTGGAGATGAGAACACTGAGGCTCAGGGGAGTTGTGACTTGCCTAAAGTCACACAGATACTAAGTGGTAGAGCTAGAATTTGAATCAAATCCTCTAATTTGATATTCAGTGCTCTTTTCATCAGAACATGCTCATGCATGGGGTTGACAGGGATTAGGGAGGAGGATAAAAAGGGGGGAAAGAGTCACAATGATAAGATTTGCTTACATTTAAAATCTTCCACCAACCTGAAGAAGGTACATCTGAATGTCACTGCAGGCCTCTAAGACTGACATTTAAATTTGCTACAGCTAGGCACAGTCATGCCTCAGAGGTCTTGGAAAGCATCTAAATTATACAACTTACACGGGCTGCACTATAGGAATTGATGGGCACTTGAGATAATGGTTTGGGAACTGGGAGTGCTTTAAGTATTAAAACACCTTTAGGAGAGAGGTAATGAACCTGAACTAGGAAAATGCAGAATCAGGAAATTGAAAATCCTACCATGGTAAAAAATGGATGGAATGTATACCAGTAACCTCCATGGTCAGGATGGAGAGTGAGTTGAGTACTGAAAATTTAGTGCTTCTGTAGATAGAAGGAGACAACTCCAACAACTCTTGGTAATCATTTTATTTCATGCCACACTGTGAAATAAAGTCCTCCAGAGTCACTCATCTTAGGCTGTTAAGGTATTAAAAATAATCATTGAGGGTTCTTGTTCCAGAAGAACATTCATATTTGCTTGCATGTTGTCTCTCCCATTAGATTATAAGCTTCTAAAGGGCAAGGACAGTCTTTTGCCTTTCATTGTATCCTCAGCAGTGAGCACAGTGCCTGGCACATAGTAGGCACTTTAAAAATGCTTATTGACTGGTTATTGACTGACTCATTCATTCGACAACTCTTTAGACACCTAATTTGTACGAAACATTGTACATAAAAGCTGTCTTCTATTTTCCAAAGTGGGACAGGCATCAAAACCCTTAGGTTATACCCCATGATTAGTACATCATTATGTTTGCTGATGTTTATGTTTGTAGCTTCCACTTCTAATGTTTGTTTATGTGCCAGTCAAAATAAATGAACCTGTAATTAGGATATCCTGCCACCAGGTGCTAGCAGGTTCTTTACATTTATGGTTTGAACCGTCTGCTGTAATATATAAATATGGTTCACAGAGAGGGAAAGGAGCACAATGTTCCACTAATTATGCATTTGTTTTTTAATATAGAAATATGACTCATTAATATGGATGAACTCAAACATAGTCTCAAACACTGAATGTTGACCTAGGTAAAGGACACATGAACAAAACCCCCTAACACATTAAGTGGACCTTTGCAGCAAAATTAAAGTGAAGAGGATATATATATAGATATATATATATAGATCTATCTATCTATCTATATGAAGATATATATATATACACACACACATACATACACACACATATGTATATATCACCAAATATATATAGTTAATATATAGTATATTCAGACACACACACACACACATACACACACACAGATATATATATATATATATATATATATATATATATATATGTAGTCCAACACACATACAGTCAGCAAGTGTGTGGGGGGGGGTGGGTGTGTGTATGGAGAGAGAGAGAGAGAGAGAGAAAGAGACAGTCAACAAATATATGGGTGTGTATTTGTTTCAAGGGACTTCTTTTTTGCCTTCCCCCCCCCACCAATGTAGAGGAAGAGGATGGAAGGACAAGAAAGATAGGAATAGGGTAGACAAAAAAATAAAAAAAGACAGTCATTGAAGCACCTTCTTGAAAAATGCAGAGAAAAGATCAGAAAGAAGGCCAGGCATGTAGGATAGCTTTGAAAACAACAGTAAGATCTTTGTTGCTGTTCAGTCATTTTTCAACACGTTCAACTCTTCATGATCCCATTTGGGGTTTTCTTGGCAAAGATACCCGAGTGATTTGCCATTTCTTTTTCCAGCCCATTTTAGAGATGAGCAAACTGAGGCAAACAGGGTTATATAGCTAGTAAGTGTGAGAGGCCAGATTTGAATTCAGGAAGAGGAGTCTTTCTGACTCCAGGCCTGGCACCCTATTTACTTGCACCACCTGGCTATACACATACACGTAGAGAGAGTTGAGTACAGAAATAAATTTCACTCAGTAGGGAAATAGGTAAAAGAGAGAAAGTGGAGAAAGAATTAGAGGGACAGTAGATTAAGGGAGGCATTAGTTCTAAGCAAAACAAACTTTAATGATGT